ATTCGCCGCTTCAGTCTCCTCCTTCTTCTATGCATAATTAATCAATTTTTCAATGGCGTCTTCTTCCTCCAGCTCTCTCTATCTCAACTCTCTCCCGAAGGTAATTGCTACTGGGTACTATTCCGTTTTTTTGTTTTAGTTCAATGATTTTGGCTTCTGATTCCGTTTTTTGATTCTTTGGAATTTGAAGGCTTCTTCTGGGTTGGTCCAATGGAGAAGTGGGTTACGTTTCGAATTGTTGGGTAGCTCCGTTTCTAGCAACCGATTGTTTGTTTCGCCGGTGAGGTTTACTCAACGGAGTCCGAGACTTCCGGCGATCAGAGCGGCGTATAATTCAGAGGGGGGCTCGAGGGGTAGGGCTTATAAGGAATCCCAAGCGGCTAATGGTTTTCCTAATGCTAAAGTGCAGCAGATTGCGTCTTCTATCTTGCCCGTTGGCTCGTTTGTTGTCGTCACATTCGGTACGCATTGGTATAAAGGAGCTATTTTTGAATTACTGTGGAGCATAGAAAGTTTGTTTGTTTTTTTAAGATCCTCCTGAGAAAATGGAGGTCTTTTTTCACAAATCGTCAATACTAATTTGTGTATTCAGCTGACAGTTTTATGGAAAGTGGTTGAGAAGTTCATGTCGCCAAAGTCTACAAAGACTTCTGCTGGAGAAAGTAAATCTTCTACACAGGGAGTAAAATGGTCAATCGGTGCTGGTACAAATTTGTTACAAGGATTTGCTGCAAAGGTTGATAGAGAGGCCAAGCAGAGGCTTAATGAATTTGCAAAAGAACTCAGGTCGTTCAGAAGTGTTGACATGTCAGGTGCGTTCAGTGATCTAACTACTACTATTACATTACTTATAGCTGATCTATATTCCTCATCCTTTTCCTTTAATGCAATCTAATTTGCTTTATTTGCGTTTAAGAGATTAATGGTTGAAGTTCATTATAGTGGGTGTAGCTCACTTTTGAGTATTATTTTGTAGGATGCAACTTTGGAGATGAGGGACTATTCTTTCTTGCTGAAAGCCTTGGGTATAATCAGGTTATGGCTCTCCCTCTCCTTGGCATCTGTTATCTGCCAAATCATTAGAGTCCTGATCTTCTTAACTCGATTGAGTAACCATACCCATATTTTATTTCAGACTGTAGAGGAAGTCAGTTTTTCTGCAAATGGAATTACTGCTGCAGGAGTTAAAGCCTTTGATGGGGTTCTTCAATCAAATATTATGTTGAAGGTTCTTAACCTCTCTGGAAACCCTATTGGTGATGAAGGAGCTAAGGTTAGAGGAAATATTATGTACTAGCATTATACTTCTTTTCGGGTGTCTGATGGTAAAAAGGTTCCCAGTTCAGTCAACAGAGGAGAACACATTTGTTTTTGCCGATACCATACAGAGCTTGTCTTTCTGATATATGGTTTGCCTTCATTTTGCCGTGTAATGACAGACTTTATGTGCTACATTGATGGAAAATTCTAGCATCGAGATACTTCAGCTGAACAGTACTGATATAGGAGACGAGGTTTGTCTAAGCAGATGCTGTTATTTACATGATCTTCAAGCTGCTTAGTTAATTTACATGATCTTTAATGTCCTTAGGTAGCCACAGTACTTTTAATTAATTTCATGCTCCAAGTAGTTCCAATGTTTCTGCGCAGGGTGCAAAAGAAGTTGCGGAGTTGTTGAAGAGAAATTCAACCTTAAGGGTTATTGAGCTGAATAATAACATGATTGACTATTCTGTAAGCTCTTTCTATTCATGTGTTGTACCTCAATATTGCTGAATTAATCACCCAGGTTTATGAATTGAATCTGTTGTGTCTCCTGCCCTTTTTCTTTTGAAATGGAGGTAGGGATTCACAAGTCTTGCTGGAGCTCTTCCTGAGAATAATACAATACGAAATTTACATCTCAAGTGAGTTTAGGATCGTAGAGGGATGTTTTCTTTTAATCTTGCTTTTTTCGTCTGTATATTTCATATCCCTGACATGCTGATTTATGGATAACCTGGTTCAGTGGAAACTACGGTGGTGCTTTGGGTGCCAATGCTTTAGCTAAAGGGCTTGAGGGTAACAAGTCTTTACGGGTACACATACTCCTCATGCCTCTTTCTATGTAGACCATTTTCGATGCTAAGAGAAACTTACGATAGTCAAATGTGCTATCTTATATGATGCGTTAAATGTGATTTCCAATGTCACTACCAGCAAAGACAACCAGTGTATTTTTGTTTTCATGAATTAATCTGTTAAAGCCCTTGGCCATTCTACTTGTAGGAACTTCATTTGCATGGAAACTCTATTGGAGATGAAGGGGTTCGTGCTTTGATGTCTGGTCTATCTTCCCACAAAGGTTTTGGTTTCAGCAGTTTCAGTTGAACACTCTTCATACGCCAATATTAACTCTTTCTTACCTTTTTTGAAGAATTCAATATTTAGACTGAGATGCATTTTTGTGTCCAGGGAAACTGGCTTTGCTAGACCTCGGTAACAACTCCATCAGCGCAAAGGGTGCCTTCTATGTAGCAGAATACATCAAGAGAAGCAAGAGCTTGGTTTGGTTGAACTTGTACATGAATGATATAGGCAATGAGGTACTAATATTAATCAAATTAATAACATTCAAGCTTCTTCTCTAATTTCAGAACACTATGTTTCTCTTTGCTTTGTTCTATATCCTATGATTTTCAATGGTTTCAGGGAGCTGAAAAGGTTGCAGATGCTCTGAAGCAAAACCGTTCAATTGCAACCATTGACATGGTGAGAAGTAACCATCTTCTTCTCCATTGTCCCTTAGTTTTTCCTTGCGCCCAAATCGAGCCATTTGTTATGCTAACGCCTTTTTGTGAAAATAGGGTGGAAATAATATACATGCGGAGGGAGTTAATGCTATAGCTCAAGCGTTGAAAGATAATGCAATTATAACGACAGTCAGTGCCATATAATCCTTCTCATCTTGATTTCCCTGTTTACTATAACTTGGAAGATATTGACACTACCAGTCTCTTTATCTCCTCAGTTAGAGCTTGGTTACAATCCCATAGGCCCTGACGGAGCTAAAGCACTATCTGAAATTCTCAAGTTCCATGGAAATGTTAAAACGCTCAAACTTGGTTGGTGCCAGGTAAAAAGCATGCCCATAACTCATCTATGAAAAACTTCACAATTGCTCCTTCCGTTTTTATCATTTATCTTTTCATTCCTGTATCTTGCAGATAGCTGCCAAGGGTGCTGAATACATTGCAGACATGTTGAGATATAACAACACGATCTCGGTTTTGGACTTGCGGGCAAATGGACTTAGAGACGAGGTTACTTCAGACATATTTTATCAGTATTCAGTAGATTCTTCTATGTACTTACAATACTTCTACCAAATATTCCTTTCATGGTTAATAAAATGGGAATTTTCAGGGCGCTTCATGCTTAGCTCGGAGCTTGAAAGTAGTTAATGAAGCTCTGACATCTGTGGAT